TCACAACATGACTGGGACACAATCAAAACATGATCGGGACACCATCAAAACATGACCGCGCCACCATAACATGATCGGGACACCATCAAAACATGACCGGGACACCATCACAACACGACCGGGACACCATCAAAACATGACCGGGACACCATCACAACATGACCGGGACACCATCACATGACCGGGACACCATCAAAACAGGACCGGGACACCATCACAACATGACCGGGACACCATCAAAACATGACCGGGACACCATCACGGGACACCATCACAACATGACTGGGACACAATCAAAACATGATCGGGACACCATCACAACATGACCGCGCCACCATCACATGATCGGGACACCATCAAAACATGACCGGGACACCGTCACAACACGACCGGGACACCATCAAAACATGCCCGGGACACCATCACAACATGACCGGGACACCATTAAAACATTGCCGGGACACCATCACAACAGGACGGGGACACCATCACAACATGACTGGGTCACAATCAAAACATGATCGGGACACCATCAAAACATGACCGGGACACCAGCATCACATGACCCGGACGCCATCAAAACATGACCGGGACACCATCCGCCCACCAGCTCTGACGGTGACCCGACGGCTCCCGTCCGCCTATTAGTTTTGCAAGACCCCATAGCATGGCTATTGGGGAAATAACAATAAGAATTTTGATAGTAATTGTTTTAAAAGAATAAAAAACAAATTAATTAAACATGTTCTCCCACTCCTTCGTCCTGCTGAACATCCTCTCCATCCGGTCCCACCTGCCCACACCGGCCGGTCCCACCTGGGCGACGGCGCGCACAAACTTCCGCTCCCAGGTTTTCTGGGTGCCTCCAACATGGCCTCGAGCCGGCTCGGCGCACCAGCGGTAACCGGGAAAGCACACCCGAAAGACCGATGTTGAACTGATGGGTTGGCGTGATGGTTTGGCGTGCTGAGCGATGTTGAACTGGCTTAAAAAAAGAAAGGATGGAGATGATATGGTCTTTGGCCTTTGGATGCATTAGCCATCTTTCATATCTTTCATCAGAAGATTTGTATGACCCTTTGTGCTTCTGCTACTTAATGGATGGAGCAAGAAGGAACTCTTCACTTCCAGCATGACTTGGGGAACCCTTCGTCGTTTTGTTCGGCCAGAACACCCTTAAGAAGAATCCACACGATCCGGGATGTGACAAACACCATACACAAAGATCCTCATTAGGCCCTTTCGAAAGACCAACTTGTTTTGTCAGTGAACACATTGCTAAAACCCAGAGGAATCCCCCATTCACCGACCTTCCTTTTCGCCCAACCCCGGCCACCGGTGCTCGTCCCCGCTCCAGCTCCGGAGGTGCTCCGCTCCTCTGAAATCTGCATCACATCCCGCAGGTGCTCCGCCTCGGCACCGGCACCGCGATCCGGACGGAGCGTTGGGGAGGAGTGACCAGAGTCGCCTCGGCGATCCGGAAGTGGGAAGAGACCGAGCTTCATCACAACGGGAAGAGACCATCCCATCCAAAGTGGGTGGTGTTAGCAGTTGGAAAGAGGAACTTCCTCCAACTTGAGGTGGTGTGATCTTCCTCTGAAGAGTGTATATTATCCGGAATCTGAGGAAGAGTGGAAGGTCCACCCTCCACGAAAAGCGCGAAACTGAAGAAACAACATCTGTGTGTTTCTGCCTGGCTTCACAAGATTCAGGAGATTCAGGACAATAGCTTGTCATTCTGGAGTTACCAGAGTTCTTTTGCAACAAAATGATATATACGCGATTCACCTGCAAGGATTGCTCCATGTCTTTTTTCTACAATGTGCTTCCATTCATGATGTCTTTCTTGCAACTTGCTAAATAAAAGGCACCATCTGTCGAGGCTCATCACATCAAACCATGTGAGGACATCGCATACCGCCCAAGTCAAAGGTTCAAGGTCAATATGTATAAATGTCGTTTTACTTGATACATATACAATATATTATCCTATATTTACATGTCCCTAGAATCTGGTTGGCCCTTATTTTACAGCAGCAAACAATCCAAAATCCACTCTTTTCCTATGAAAGCAAAAGGGTTCTAGCTATATATATATATATTTTATGATTATATAATATATAAATATAGTTATATAATATATACGATTATATAATATATATTGTATATAGTTATAATATTTATATATATATTATATATATCGCTAGTCAGTCAGAGCACTCCTCGACTCCTGCAACTTGATGTCGAAATTCTTTCGCCCCTATGAAAGTAACTCAGTGACCCCAATCTTCCTATGATCACCGTGTGGGGTGCATTCCTTGGGATCTGCCTTCCCACCCGTGCGCACGGGAAAAAAGAATCAGTGCACCCACCGACGCGACGTAAAACGGCATTGCCTGGGCCTCCGCACTTTCGAGTTGGGGGAGTTCACACTCACAAGGATCGTCACCACCTGCGTCGAAGGAGGAACTCGACTTCTTCCGAAGGCGCACCAAGTCACGACCGTCACGAAGGAGCGTCGGATGTGATGCCGTTTGCCCTCTTTTCGGTAAAGGATCGAAGTTCAACGAAAAAAGGCTGGTGAGGCTGGTGAAGCCATGAGGCTGTCTGGCTTGTGACAAGAAAACACCTCAGACATCCTCAGACCCGTGTCCAGCGATGGAAAGTGCGTGAGAAAGTGGGGGCGCCCTAGTGGACCAGATTTCCTGTGAACCCATGTGTTCCGGGTCATATTGTAAAGCAAGCACCCCTACTGGACCAAGAAGAACGACGACCTCCTCACATAGCCTTACAACTGTCAAGGCGCCATGCTAATGTTTTCCCTACGACCAGTCACGTCTTTGCGAGCTCCTTCAGCATGCGTACAAGTTCCGACATGTCACTCTCGGATGCAGCAAGTAAAGCCGTTCCCCCATCCTCTCTTGCTGTATCTTTATCAGCTCCTGCTTCCAACAACAATGTTGCGCCGGAAAGGTAAGTAACAATAACTTGCATCTTTTGAGCTCAAGGTTGCAATGTGTGCATGGGGACCCTTGATGAGAATTTTGGGAAGTGGTTGAAGGAACCCACAGAGGTCTCGAACTATTTTGACTTTCCACATGTTGATCGTCTATCTTCAGTCCCGTAGCCCCGACGATACCTGCTAACTTGCCATTGGCATGGTGTGTCCGCTCTTCGTCCCGACAAGGGTGTGTGCTTCCAAAGTCCAGAAGTCGAGAAGACCAACCAAGCTCAAGTGGATATGGCAAAAAATGACCAGCGAGTCAAACGTCTCTGGCTTTTGGTCAAGTTTCTGTGCCAACCCAGAAGTGAACCCCCCTCCTCCTTCCACTCGCACAAAGCTCCCGCCCCCCCCTCTAAAAGCGCCCGTGACCTGACGGGTCTGGGGCGTCGCACCCCCGCACAGGCGACCAGGATGGTCGTCATCAGCGACTGGAGCGCGCTGGCCTAGCGCTTTGGGTCTCGGTCGCCTGTTGGGTTCTTCACGAGGAACGCGACTGGGAGGTCGACGTAGCGACTGGGACTTCCAATGACCACAAACTCCCTCACTGGTGCGTCCCGTTTTCATCGCCTCCTCTGGCTCCGGCACCGGCTCCGGACTGGGCACCTCGGCCTGGGAACCTTGGGACGCGTGGAGAGGTGATCATGGCGGGACTCGACTCCAAGAGTTGGCAAATCCGAAAGTCGGAAAGTACCAGATACCAAGGGCCTAGAGATATGAGGCCCTTCATATCGAGGCCCCAAGGGCGATGTCGACCAAAAAGCAAGGCCCGAAAAGAGGTGATGTTGGGGAATTGAAGGGAAGTGCGTGGCTGAACTTCACCGTGCGCCCTCATTGTTGCCCTGTTTCTTCGAAGTGACCCAGACTGAGTTCCGGTTTCGGTGGCCTCAAGACGCTTATATAAAGGGTCACTGGCCTCCCCCGTTTTGATAGCATATACACCCACAGCCGGGCAGGAGTCAAGCACATGCCATGACTCCTCCCCGTCGCTCGACGACCGTCGAGTGGTGGAGCCGCGGTCCAACCGGATTCCACACGATCCTCGGGGCGAAGCGAACGACTCGCTCCCACCCCAGTGCGGAGTCTGACTTCTCTAAAATGACTATGATGCCTTTCCTGCCCAGAGATTTGTCCCATTGCGGATGAAACCGCCGTTCTCAACCTTGCCACTCAAAGGCAATCGCAAAAAAATCGCCCCTTGCGATTCAAAAGGATGCCGTCTGGCTACTTCATTCACAAGGTGATCTCGGTGGGCTCAGTCCAGCTGCAAAACTCTTCAAGGTGAATAGCCCTTCCCAGCCCTTCATGTGCTTCGGTCGTGAAAAAGCACTCGGCTTCCCGGGCGGGCGAAGGCGCTCGAAAGGCCCGCCGAAAAGCAGCTCAGGATGGAATGCCATGCCTGGAGGGTCACAAAAATCTCACCACCTTCTTAGGCGGCGTGTGAAACAGGCGCTTTTGGCCGCTTTTGACTGCTTTTGGCTTAAGACATTGCACAGGAGACTCCCACCAACGTGTTGATGTCACTTGAAAGTCCACCTACAAACTCCCAGTCCAATTTCTCTCAGTAGCACACCTCAGGCCTATTCCACACAAAGCCGCGCAGTTTCAAGTCAATATAGCCTGATCCCAGCTTCACTTCGCCTGTCTTCAATCAAATGTCTGTGATCTCCCTTCTGTGTGTCTATGATCTCCAGCTTAGAGACCATCACAGAGCTCACCTGGTGGACCTCTTGGCCTCCACTCACCTGCTCGGGTGGGTGAGCTCACCCCCCTGTCCAGCCTGTTCCAGGCTGTGGAAGAAGCTCTTGGCCACCACACGCACGACCAGGCCGGAGGCCTGGTTGATTGGGACACTGTGGGGGGCGGGGGGCCGGGGCGGGGACCACACAGAAAAATCCTCAGGCCCTGTGTGGGGAGAAACCTCGAAGGTTTCGAAGGCGGATTTCACATCGGAGCTTCCGATCCTGTGCGGCCGGCCTCGGCCACCGCACCCAGGGCCATAGCAAGGTCCTCGTCCAGCACTGCCATCTCTCCTGGCGAGCTGGGCGAAAGGAAGGAAGGAGAGATCCAATGGGAGATCCGGAGTCGCTCCCGAAATGGTCACCCTTCCGGTGGAAAAGGTTGAAGAGACTCTTCTGCGCATTGAAACGATCAACCAAGGTACAGCATGGATAGGTGAAAGAACAACAGCACGCAATGATGCCTTGAGATAAAAGAAAAAATCTCAAAACAAGAACAGACTAGCAAGTTTGACCATGTGGGCTTCCACCCAAACACCACCAGAAGCACCTGCCGGTTCCCAGGAATCACTCGCGCCCCACTCCTTGCGACGCCCGGCTTTTCGCAGCATCAGCGAAGGGGTCAAACTGCGGCTCTTCCACCTCCGCTCGAATGCTCAAAAAGCTTCAAGAAAGGAACCTGCCAAAAGCTCCCACAACGGCTCGCAGCTCGCAGCTCGCGGAAAGAAATTTGCATCTCGGTGGCGCTCATTGGCAGGGTGTCCGAAGCCAAGCCCACTTGGGTCCATTGACCATGGTCCGCCTCAGAAGACCGCGGCGGTGCCTCCACCTGCGCACCGAGAAGAGTTCGGGTCGTCGGAGCATCGGTCAGATGAGGCTGAGAGCCTGACATCGTCGTCTGACATCGTCGTCTGACATCGTCTGACCCGAACCCTTGGAAGTGATTCTGCAAGACGAAGAAGAACTCCCCGTAGAAAGGCCATGTGCAGAAGGAGTGCTTTTGGTTTTTAGGTCACCTTTGATGGGACCCGACTCGGCCCTACTTCCGCCCAACTGCGTGGCACCGGGTGTCGCGTACTGGCGTGGGGCTCACATGTGACCATGTTTGACAAAAGGCAGAAGAGTATCACCCTTCCAAACGGCCACCCTTGGAATACTTTGGATACAGTTTCGGGATCTTGTTCTGGGGCCCGCGAAAGAGGAGAGCAAACCAAAACCCATTGGCAAGGGTGGGTGACATCACCATCATCACCATGAATTGACAAACCCACTTTGAAGAGTTTTCTGAGCGCTTCCGGGCGATACTGCACCCATTCCTCCCGCACACCTCCCTGTCACGTGGAGCCAGCTCCTCTGTCTCTTCGGGCCAGCTCTTCGGCTCCTGGAAAGAAGCGTGCCTAATCGACCGACGGGGCATGAGCGCCTCTTGGACCATGTGGACCTCAAAGCCAGGTCACCTCACCCCCGGACCAGCACCCAAATCACCTTGCAACCAGACAGAAGGCCAAGTTACAGTAGACTTGAAGGCTTCGCGTGAGAGTAGGTCCGCTTTTCACCCAATCCCCCACTCCTCAGGGTTTCCTTCCTCGCTCACATCCTCCACCTCGAGCCGCTCCACCGTGGCGCCCTCCCGCGGCTCCAAGCCCACGGCGGGCGCCGAGCCCAGGGAGGCAGGCGCCGCCGCGAAAGGCTCCGCAGCCATCTGGAGATCAGGAACGACATCCCCAGCGCCAGTGGAGGAAACGAAGCCCCTTTTTGTCCGCAAACGACACACATTAGACTGTCTGTGGATCTGTTGCAAGACCTCAAACCATCAGATTGATCGCAGCTGTGGCCTAGATCCGCATCATGGGATGGTGGGTGGTTTTTGGAACTTCCATGACCTCCCAAGAGTCCAGTTGACCTCAGCGCAGTCCCATTCAAATCCACCTCAGCCCCACCCATGAAGCTCTCAACTCCAATTCCGGCCAAGCCTTGGACACGCCACTCACTTCCGCCCAGGGTGGGAGCGGTGCTACCAAGCCTGAGGCCCTGCGCGAGAAGGAGACGCGCGACTGAGCGCGCGAAAGAGGGTGGATGCTCGCTCTCAGGGTCTCACCAGTTCGAGAAATTGTTGCGAAGAGAAGATGTATGTGTTTCTTCCAATATCCGTCCATCATGTGTGGGACCTCCTCTTCCACGGTTGCAGGACCTTCTAAAAGTGAAAGGAAGCATCTTTACCATGTCTCCAAAATCTGCTTGCTCAAATCTCGGACTCTTTTCCCTTTCATTGATTTACCAGCCGGACCTAAAAACACCAAAAAATCGTGCACCTGGAGTCCAGCTCATCGGTCAAGTCGATGCCACCTGGAAACCGGTGGCAGAACGGTCCCAGAGTCTGGGCCGAAAAGCAGCTGTGAGAGTCTGGGCAATTTCATAAGATCTGAAGATTCAGAGTTGGCATGTTGACGACCCCAAAGAATGGCTCTTGAAATTTTGAAGGGTGCGAAGGCAGAACCACCAAGAAGCATTCCTTTGTTTGCAATGAAAAGAAGGTTTTTGGATGTGAAAAATTGTATAATTAAATAGACCTGAGGAAATCAAGTTGTAGCTGCTGAAATTCTCCTTGAAAGCAACTATCTGATTTCATCGGATTGTTGGACATGAACATTGGTGGGCGAACACCCCCACCTCCTCTGGGCTGAACCTGGTTCCCCTCTCTGCATGACCAATTGGATCGCATCAGGACCTTTACCTGAACGATGGTGACCAGGGCCGGTATGTCTTCGCCCTCTCTCCCCTCACTTCGTTCTTGATCGATGACCACATCCGCCACATGCTATCATGCTGTCGCAGTCCCACGCTCTGCGCGTAAAAGCTCAGCCCAAAAAGAAAAGCCACCGACTCCTCCGCCCGCACCCACGTGTTCGCGCCCCAGGTCCCGGGCCCATGAGGTAGCTGAAGCTCCCGGAGGACCAAGCGCCGACCTGACGAGACCCAAAACGTCCTCTCTCCCTCCGCCCACGGGGACGTGTTTTCCATTGCGAGGCGTCGACTGGGGGATCTGCCTGGTAGAACTGGACGTTTGGGAACTGAATGAAGGTGATGATCTTCGACTGAGTAAATGGATTCGAAAGAGTTCCCACGAAGATCATCACCTTTGCCATGGGGCCTTTGATATGGCCGACTGGCCAGTGCGCCAGCTGCGCCAGCTGCCCAAAATCTGGGGCACTGAACCCCTAGACCACACACTCTTTGGGAGGAAAAAAGAACTTCTTCCCACTTACTCATACTCGATGCCTTCTCCACTCACCAATTCAACTCTTAACTCAGACGAGCCACTAGCGCAGCACCAGCCAGCGCAGCCACGACCATGGAGCCCCAAAAGCCGAGCCCATGGAGGCCAGTCGTCGCCCGCGTCAGGACCGCTGGGACTTCGGGGACCGAGGCTGCGACCTGGTGACAGCAGTGACAGCAGGAAATGCGTTTCACCAAACCAGAAGTGCCCAGAACCAACAGAGGTTGAAGGACCCGAACTAGTCTATCCCAGTTCGGTACCCCAGTAAGGTCCTATAAGGTCATTTAACCTCTCTTGGAAGTTGCCGGTCTACTGCGTCATCTGCTGAAATGTCTAAGAACTATGCTTTTTTGCAGGATGTTTATCCATCAGCAGCTCCAAGAAAGGGGAACCGCTCCCCCTGGACTTCCCGTACAAGCAAGGGCTGCAAAGTCAAGATGCGAATTCTTCGTGCGCTACAAAATTGGCTGGCTTCCTTCCTTACTTTCTTCGTTGCCTCCTGCTTTCCTTTAGGTTGCACGGTAGCACCCAGGTACACAACCAAAAGAATGTGTGGCTTCAACTAAAGAAAAACAAACAAACAAACAAACCTGTGGGTGGGGTATCAGGGACCTTGTGTCAGTCTTATGAACTGACTTATATACTCCAAAAGAACCTGGCAGTCACACAAGAATCCGTCAGCCCCATAGATTGCAAGCCTACCGAATCATGCCAGCTTGCGCCAGCTGTGCATCCTTCCTTGCTGTGACGGAAAGGATCAGTTTTTCAACAGCTCGGCCCCCGGCTGGCGCAAGGCTGAGGCTGGGAGCCATCGAGGGGCGTGGAGCCTCAGAGCCTCGATGCGGGGCGGGAGACTTCTCTTTTGGAGAAAAAGTGTGACATTCGTGTAATGGAGAAAAGGGCACAAGAAAGTGAGGTTCATGGACAATCCCAGCAAAATCAGCCTCTTTTCGGGGCTAGAAAATATCGACACCCTTTTCTGGGCTATATTTGGAGTCGGAAAGGCCTGCACCTGGTGCTGTGGACAGGCGGAAAGCATCTCATGCAGACAAAAGCTTCTTTCTCAGCCACGAAGCTCTTTCAGCCGAGCACGAAACGCAAACTGGACAAGACCTGACCCCAACATGCGAGGCCAAGAGGATTAAAAGTTCAGTAGCCGTAGCCACATCTATCTGATTCGAGTTTGCACATGTAGTCATGGAAGAGCTGTGCTGCTCAACCAAGCGTGCAAAACGGTCAAAAAGTCTTTCGTTCTGACCTATGACCACGAGAGAAGAAGAGCTGTGCACAATTCAAGTGCATGGAATTAGAGTCTTGCCAGCACAAGGAGCTTGCATCTGACATCACAAGCTGACTTTCAAGAGATGACATACATTGCAAGCCTCCGCTGATTTTTCAGAGTGCTGGTGACACGAACAGGCTGTCCTTCCAAAACTTTACAGGAATTTTGCAGAGGCAGCACGCTAAGTAGAAATTTGTGGACGAAATCGGGCCTTT